TGTGTGTGTGTGTGTCGTGTGTGTGTTTTTGGTGTGTGTGTGTGTGTGTGTGTGCGTGCGTGCGTGCGTGCGTGCGTGGGTGTGTGTGTGTGTGTGTGTGTGTGTGTGTGTGTGTGTGTGTGTTTTGTTTTAAAGGTGCTCTTGTGTTGTCCTTGTTCAGACGCACTGCTCTTTGCCTCCTTCTGCGTTTGTGTTGCTTTTGATCCAGCATTTGCCTCTCTTTTTGAGGTGTTCCTCTTTTCTCCTATGCCTGGGCAGAAGGTAAAACTTCGTCCGCTACCTTGGTTTTATTTCCGTTTTCATTGTTCTTTGCGTCCTTTGTCGTTTCTCTGGGTTTTGATCAAGCATTTGCCTGTGTTTTTGAGGTGTTCTTCTTTTGTCCTGTGCCTGGGTGGAGATAGAGGTCCGTCACCTTGTTGCTTTTATTTCCGTTTGCATTGCTGTTTGCAAGCTTGTTCGTGTTTCTTGGCAGAGCATTTGCCTATGTTTTTGGGCTGTTCTCCTTTTGTTATGCCTGGGTAGGAGAGAAACTCCATGACCTATTTTGCTGGTATTTCTGATTTCATTGTTCTTTGCCTGCTTCTGCGTTTGTGTTGACATTTGTTCCAGCATTTGCCTCTCTTTTTGAGGTGTTCCTCTTTTCTCCTATGCCTGGGCAGGACATATGCCTGGGCAGGAGGTAAACCTCCGTCCGCTACTTTGGTTTTATGTCCGTTTTCATTGTTCTTTGCGTCCTTTGTCGTTTCTCTGGGTTTTGATCAAGCATTTGCCCGTGTTTTTGAGGTGTTCTTCTTTTGTCCTATGCCTGGGTGGGAGATAGAACTCCGTCACCTACATTGCTTTTATTTCCGTTTGCATTGCTGTTTGCATGCTTGTTCGTGTTTTTTGGCATAGCATTTGCCTATGTTTTTGGGCTGTTCTCCTTTTAATTTGTTCTGCCTGAGTAGGAGAGAAACTCCGTGACCTATTTTGCTTGTATTTCTTTCTGATTTCATTGCTCTTTGCCTCCTTCTGCGTTTGTGTTGCTTTTGATCCAGCATTTGCCTCTCTTTTTGAGGTGTTCCTCTTTTCTCCTATGCCTGGGCAGGAGGTAAAACTCCGTCCGCTACCTTGGTTTTATTTCCGTTTTCATTCTTTGCGTCCTTTGTCGTTTCTCTGGGTTTTGATCAAGCGTTTGCCTGTGTTTTTGAGGTGTTCTTCTTTTGTCCTATGCCTGGGCGGGAGATAGAACTCCGTCACCTACATTGCTTTTATTTCCGTTTGCATTGCTGTTTGCATGCTTGTTCGTGATTTTTGGCATAGCATTTGCCTGTGTTTTTGAGCTGTTCTCCTTGTCATTTGTTCTGCCTGAGTAGGAGAGAAACTCCGTGACCTATTTTGCTTGTATTTCTGATTTCATTGCTCTTCGCCCCCTTCTGCGTTTGTGTTGCTTTTGATCCAGCCTTTGCCTCTCTTTTTGAGGTGTTCCTCTTTTCTCCTATGCCTGGGCAGGAGGTAAAACTCCGTCCGCTACCTTGGTTTTATTTCCGTTTTCATTGTTCTTTGCGTCCTTTGTCGTTTCTCTGGGTTTTGATCAAGCATTTGCCTGTGTTTTTGAGGTGTTCTTCTTTTGTCCTATGCCTGGGCGGGAGATAGAACTCCGTCACCTACATTGCTTGTATTTCCGTTTGCATTGCTGTTTGCATGCTTGTTCGTGATTTTTGGCATAGCATTTGCCTGTGTTTTTGAGCTGTTCTCCTTGTCATTTGTTCTGCCTGCGTAGGAGAGAAACTCCGTGACCTATTTTGCTTGTATTTCTGATTTCATTGCTCTTTGCCTCCTTCTGCGTTTGTGTTGCTTTTGATCCAGCCTTTGCCTCTCTTTTTGAGGCGTTCCTCTTTTCTCCTATGCCTGGGCAGGAGGTAAAACTCCGTCCGCTACCTTGGATTTATTTCCGTTTTCATTCTTTGCGTCCTTTGTCGTTTCTCTGGGTTTTGATCAAGCATTTGCCTGTGTTTTTGAGGTGTTCTTCTTTTGTCCTATGCCTGGGTGGGAGAAAGAACTCCGTCACCTACGTTGCTTTTATTTCCGTTTGCATTGCTGTTTGCATGCTTGTTCGTGTTTTTTGGCATAGCATTTGCCTATGTTTTTGAGCTGTTCTCCTTTTAATTTGTTCTGCCTGAGTAGGAGAGAAACTCCGTGACCTATTTTGCTTGTATTTCTGATTTCATTGTTCTTTGCGTGCTTCTTTGTTTCTGTTGTCTTTGCTCCATCGTTTGCCTATGTTTTTGAGGTGTTCGTCATGTCGGGCGTGTGACCCCAACCAACCCGCTTCGTGAACCTCGCGCGCCGTTTGAAGCCTCGCTTCCAAACGCTCTTCTGACCGACCCCTGGCTCGCAATCCAAACTTTGCCGTTGTGCTGCTCGCAAGGCTAAATGCCCTGGATTAGCCGAAGGATTTGAGCCATGGGGGCCCTTCTAAGGGAGCATAGGGCACCGGGATTCGGTGGAATTTGGAATCTGCCCACTTTGACGCTTAGAACAAAGCAAAAAAGGCCCGACTCAACAGGACGTATAGAACAACGCACAACGCAAGTTTTGAAACTTCCTCCTCCGCCGGTCTTTGGGTCGGTCGCCCGCTTCTCCCACCCTCCGCCGGTCCTTGGGTCGGTCGCCCTGTTTTTGCAGGATCCGCGTTGGTTCTCGGGGTGCCGGTTGCCCCGGGGGGTCCTTGGGTCCCCCTCCCGTGGGCCTTTATGCAAGCACATGGGGACAGATTCTAAATTCATCTAGGTTTTTCTAGTTGGGGGGGCTGCCCTGCTTGGTCCCTTCCTGGGACCCTGCAGGGGCCCCACAAAACTGATACGGAGTTACAGGTAAACTTAACAAATTTGTATGTTTCTTTCCTCGCTCACTTGCCCGCAGCCGCCTCAAGGGTCAGGAATCCTATCAGAGTGCCCAGCCTAGGTATGCACAGTAGGACACTCTGAGGCTGTACAGTCTGTACATGAACGAAGCCATGCCGCCAAACACCCACACCACCCGAACCCCACATCACCCCAACCACCCACATGACCCGAACCACCAAGACCGCCCCAAGCCACCCGCCCCCTGAGCCACCCACGCTGACGAGCCGCCATCCGCACCGCCCGCCACCAGTGTGAAGGCCCCCCCCTCTCCCAAAAGGCTGCGAACTAGCCCTAAACCCTAAACCCTCATAGCGTCATCCCTGCAAAGGGCGCCCAAATCCTCCAACTACCCAAGCTGCCCAAGCCGAAGCCACCCAAGAAACTCCCTAAGCCCTGAGGCACCCTAAAATGGCGGGGGGTGGGGTCGGCGGCACTGGCGGTAGCCATTAAATAGTATACTTCTACGGTACACTATTGTCGTACGCTGACTGCGATGCCCTATAGTCTACTACAGTATGCTAAAGTATACAATAAAAAACCATAGTATACAAACTACAGTATACTATAGTACACTATAGCAGACTATTGTATACTATAGTGTGCAAAAGCATACGGATGCATGCTACATGCAACATATGAGATGGGAAGCAAAGTCGCGAAAAGCTTTTCTCAAACATGGCCCTGGCTCCCTGGCAGGCAGTTTTCTGAGTCATCCAGATTTAGCCTCGGTTCTTCTCTGCGGCTGCCGTCGCCATCCCACTATACTCCTGCTACTGCGTCAACCACCACCACCACTACCGCCGCCGCCGCCACCACCACCACCACGAATACAACGACGAATACGAATACGAATACGGATACGACTTCGACTACGACTACGACGACGGCGACTACGACGACTACGACGATGACGACTACGACTACGAATCATCGCATGCTTTAAAAAACTATGACTACGTGATGACGACTACGAAGTAGGTGTCGAATTCGTGACTGGCATGGTTTTCCTTACTTCATGGCAAGAAAACTTGGGTTTCTCCTCTTTGTGACTTTCTCGTGTCTGCTTCTACTTTCTGCTTGTTTGCACCAACGCACATCACTAACACACACACCAGCACCCCACAAGTAAAGGAGGTTGCTGCATTTCAGGGTTTAGGGATTTTGGGCTTGCATTTGGACTCGGGTCAAGCATTCAGAGTTTCGCTAAAGCTACAGCTACAGCCGCAGCTACAGCTATTCCGACGCTACTACGGTCGACGACTACCAAGAGAAAGAGTGAAAGGTTGTTCGCCAGAATGCGGGGTCGCCACAAACAGAAGTGCTTAGACAAGATCCGAGGAACAGTGCCTGCATGAAGCGTTCACCTTCGATGGCAGAGATGCACCCGCGCTGTACGTGAGCCCTCAGGTGCTGTTCTGCAAGTCGATGGTGCCAGATCTGTAACTGCGCGCGGCACTTGCCCTCGAGAATACCGACAGTTTCCGCGATGGGCATGGCCCACCCATATCGCCTTTGAACCTTGTGATAGGCAGTAATTGCAAAGTTTGCAGGGATGTAGTGCCAAAGGTTGAATAAGCTTCGAAGCACTGAAACGGAGCCTTGGCTGCGGGTTTGCCTATCTACCCACATTAGTTGGCGCTCCATTTAGCTATCCTTCGTGGGCACGAAACTGGCGTGTAAAGGAGTATTACAGGCATGACTACCCCCAAGCCCTGACCCTAAACCCCCCCTTTCCTGGAATAGGCCCAGCAGAGACACAGGATCCGGAAACCTAGTTTTATGTTTTAAGAAGGGCTCAATGCCCTTTATTCGGACGAGTGGCGGTATTGGTAGTAGTAGTAGTAGTAGTAGTAGTAGTAGTAGTAGTAGTAGTAGTAGTAGTAGCAGTAGCAGTAGCAGTGGCAGTAGCAGCAGCAGCAGCAGTTCTGGGCACCTAACGTAAACATCTGAAGCCAGGGGATGAGCCAAGAGCCGCCCTCCAGAAGAGCGAGTTGGACTAGCACGCTACGTGGTACAGGGTTTTGGGGCTTTAGGGTTTTAGGGTTTTAAGGTTTTAGGGTTTTAGGGTTTTAGGGTTCAGGGAACTACATGGTGTAGGGTTTAGCGGGTCAAGATGGACATTACGGCGCACTGTCGTGAGGCGGAGGGACGTCTCAAGGTCTCTCAGCTGGGGTTTAGGGTTTAGGGTTCAACTCTACAAGGTACACGTCGGCGAGCTTGTTCACAGGTTGAATATGTGTGTGTGTGTGTGTGTCAGTGGCGCGTGCAATGCTACGTTTGCGGTTTTCTGTGGAGGGTGGTAGGGCCTGGCAGTCGTTTTGCATTTCTTGCTGTTCCACTCAGTACTCCTATTTCTGCGACTACTGCTGCCCTAAACCCTAAGCCAAGGTCGGGTTGCATACTGTGTGGCATGCGGTTCCCGGAGGAGATCAAATTCTGGTATAGGGTACATTCTGCTGGTATGTCATAGTATCCCACGTCTCTGCTCCTATCATTTCATACTATACTGCGATCCATACTGAAGTACGTTGCCGTACGGTAACATGGCAAGTCCCCAGAGTTCTGATGGATTTGTTTCTGGCGATGGCCTTTCTACATCTTTGACCTCCAAGTGCTAAGGGCGCCCTATCATTGAAGCAGGACCGTAGTACAACTGAGTGGCACGCGGCCACTTTCATATCATGCCATAGCCTTTGGTAGACTATCATCAGCATGGCTTGGTCGATTCTGGCACAGGGTTCTAAACAACAAAAATGTGGCCAACTGCGCAGGATTCAGTTCTCTGCAGTTCATAAAGCTGCACCTTCAAGCCTCTGAACCCCAAACCTCTGAACTTAACCCGAGCTCAGCAAAACCCAACACCCAAGAGCAAGCACTGATGTACAGCATACCATAGCGTGCGAGAGAACATACCAGCATCCAAACTCCGATCGCCGAAACAACTTCGATGCCCAAGTGGCTGATCAAGCATGCCCCAGGCCACCATGCAGCCATCAAGCGCACGACCACTCCTGGGAACTCTTCGCGCGCGTTTAGGGTTTAGGGTTTAGGGTTTAGGGTTTACGGGTTTAGGGTTTAGGGTTTACGGGTTTAGGGTTTAGGGTTTAGGGCTTAGGGCTTAGGGCTTAGGTCGAGGGTTGAAGAACTCACATCGGGATAGAGAGGTTAAGGTTCAGGGGTTGATGCTTACGGTTTTCACTTCATTTTTCGGGGTACCAGGTATTTGCACATGTCTTGCGAAGTTCGTCCAAACCCTAAACCCTGAGATGATTGTTTCTGAACTCCTGGGTTAGCTACGGCTAATCCTGGATGTCTGTGTGAACATATACATTCTGTGGAGCAGCCGAGGGCTTAGGTTTGGGTTGAGAACCAGCCCAAATCTTTATAGAGCACTAGAGCTCAGAACACATTTTACAGTACCCACCTAGAAGCCCCCTAAATCCCCGAGCAGAGTTATTATTAGGTTATAAGTACAGTTATAATTGGGTTATAAGTACCCTGAACCTCCAAATATTACTTTACCATGTTGTAATGGACTAGACTGTAGTACACGACACTACAATAAGTCTACTGTACCATGCGGGTGTAGAACATGCCATACCTAACCCAGAAACCTGTAGCAACCTGTCTAAGGGCTAACTATTCTAGTCTTCAGTACTAGTTGAGTTTGTTGATAGGTGGCGCTTTGAGGATGCTAGTCGCTGCTAGTCGGGGGAGAAAGGTTTTGGGTAAGTCAGCTCAAGGGAACGAACGACCGTTGATGCTGCGCAGAGGTCTGCTGAACATTGTACAGGCCCTCGCAGTGGAGCTAGAGATGCATCGAGCTAGAGCTACATCGCTCCCTTTCGCATATAGTTCCCATTCCCCACGTTGCACTCTCGCAGGGGGCGTGGCTACAGGAGAGGCTGAATCATGTACAAGCGTAGGCTGAGCTTCAGAGTCTGCTACTGAGTGAAAAACAGTTGTTGCACTCTGCTTGCCGTGGCCGAATCGCTGGATGTTGCTCTAGATGCCACCCCTTGAACCCTAAGCCGCACATCCTAAAACACTAAACCCTGTCCTGAGACCAGAATGATGCAAAGGCCCAATGCCCATCTCTGCCGCTGCGGGGGCCACTGCATCAAGGAGCTCACGCCTTGGTTTACAGTTGGGTGAAAACAGTTTTTGGTCGTTTAGGGGCATAGGGGCATAGAGGTTAGGATTTAGAGGTTTTTGGGGTTTAGGGTTGAAGGTGTAAGGTCTCAAGCTTTTCGAAGAGTAGCAGGAGTAGTCGTACTAGTAGTAGTAGTAGTAGCAGTAGTAGTAGTAGTAGTAGTAGTAGTAGTAGTAGTAGTAGTAGTAGTAGTAGTAGTAGTCGTCGTCGTCGTAGCAGTAGTAATGATAATAGTAACAATTGTTGTTGTTCACTGCACTACAGTTGTACCCCTACTGCTACTAATCGCACGACTACAGCCACAAGCATGCCTGCCATCAACTGAAAGGCAAGTGACAACTGTCCGCGACGGTGATTTGCAGAATGGCAGTCGCTGTTGCAGCCAAGGGCCGGGCATACATCATGTTTGATACGACAATGATCCTCAAGAGTTGTCGGATTATGATAGACTACTCAGAACCAAAAACAACTCTTTAAACTCTACGACTATAACAGACCGGGACCCCAAAGCACCCCCCCCCCCCCCCCACCCCTTCATGTCGTTCCCAGAGTCAACACCGCAGCCAAAGCTGCCAGCACCGCGCCCAGGCTGCACGAAAACCACCAGGGAGCGTGCTCAAACTCTGCACGTTTCGCCTCCCGCGCCTCAAAAACGCCAACTCCCTTGGTAACGCCCCCCCTCCCGGACAAGGTTTCCACATTACAAGTCCTACTTCGGTTTCCAGGCACTAGAGAAAGAAATGATGACGATGCTTCTTCTTGGTGTGTTGTGACAGTTGTTATGGTATCTGCCGTCATTGCTCATGATCAGGCAGACTCATTGACACTGCGAGGAGACTTTGACAAGGCGACATACAAAAGTGAGGTCTCGCATGACCGTGAATAACAGGGCACTCGAAGACAGGACTTTGAGTGCTCTGAATACCAAGGGTATCAAAACGAGTCTGTTGAGTGTTCAACAAAATAGCACAAGCACACGCACGGATCAGGACCCGTGGCCTCATGCAGACTCAAGAGCACTTCACGCAGCAGCACAGGTGTGGCCGCAGCATCAAGGCCAACGCCAGATGCGGAGACATTGAAGGCAGTGTCAACTTCTCGCGCGGCCAGATCGTGCGGGTACGCGTTCACCTTTTCGACCTTTTCTGCGCCCAAGAACAAATCAAACCTCCTCGTGACCACCAAGGAGCCTTTCAGATAATCCACAAAGGAATCTACAAATTGGCGGACTTCTTTGCTGTGTGATGCCGCATTGTTCTGATCACACAATGGCACAACTGTCTTGAGGCGCTGCGTCAAAATCTTTCGAAGCTCGTCCTTGTGAAGTATACACAGGTCGAACTCCAGCGACTCATGCAACATGGTCGGACCACAGCTGAGAGTTCCGGAGACTGCAGCACACCCAGCGTGAGGCCGGTGCATTTGCCGAACATGCGATTGGTCTGAAAGCTTCCTAAGCGTCGGAGCACTTCTTCAGCTTCCAGACGCAGCAAGACGCTGCACGCAAGATCGAAGCGCAGCTCCTTCTGCTGTCTGGATGGCTGCGTGACCTGGCAACCCACTGGCTGAAACCCCCCCTCCAGCTGCTGCATCTTGAAGCCGTAGTCCGACGTCTTCTTTTGCCACGTGTTCGGGAACGCAAAATTAAAGACCCAGAAGACGGTATTGTCTGCTTCAAAGTACCTTCCATCAAGATGGCTGTGAAACTCGAGGGCGCCCTCTTCGGCTTGCACAAGTCCTCCACCAACATTGCTTGCAAAACCCAGCCTTCGACAAAACTCTGCTAATCTCCTGCGGCGGTCTCGTTCTTTCACACGGAGCCGATGGCAAAACGGAGTCCGCATCAAGCATAAACGCGCCAGAGCCTTCACATCCTCATCCTCCAACTCCAGTCCGTCACAGGCGCATGTTCGTGCAACCTTGCTGAGCCAGCCTTGGACCGTTTCAGCTGAAGCCTGGCTGAGGGCATAGACGCTCAGTCCGAACTGCATGTTCACGTCGGCTGGCCAGTGCTCTTGGAAGATCGGGTTCCCAAAAAGACAGATCACCGCAACCACCGCAAAATCTGGGTTGTCTGAACCCAGCACTGGCAGTTGGAACAGCGCAGGCTGTCTGTCTAATGCATCTCGCAACTGCTGCAGCTTCTGGCCAAACACTTTGGACAAATGTCTACCGAACTCTTCAAAGGGAGGCTCCTGCGCAAAGCTGGAACAGTGAAAACCACGGTAGAGCCAAGCAACAGCCGTAAAGCCATACTGGTAGTGGTGGTCATAGCAGTAGTAGCAGGAGCAGGAGTAGGAGCACGAGGAGTCGGAGGAGTAGGAAGAGTAGGAGGAGAATGCTGCACTCACGGATGGCGAGGAGGAGGTCTAGCTGATAAGTCATTCGTGCACCAACTGGGGATAGACGTGCAGGGTTCGAAAGCAATGCTTCATCTGCGGGAGTTTGACAATTAAGGGAAAGATGCGCTGCATTGATAGTTTGTCAACCCTGCTCCTTTTGGCATGTACCGCGCTGCTCCTCCCGCTGCTGTCGCTGAGCCATAAGCTTCTCGAGCTCTTCTTGCACCTTCTGTGAGCGTCGACGCCGATCCATTTCCCAGGCTACCCCAGCCAGAGCAGCGCCACCAACCATGGTACCGGCAAGGACTGCTGATGTGGTGGACATGCTGCAAGTGGCGCGGACAATCCGAGATGCTACAATCCTGACTTGTTCAAGTCGCATCTCTCCATCCGGTTGCTCTATCAAAAACTATGAGTCTGGGAAGTGAGTTGCGGAGAATGTGAAGAATCATGTTATTTTGTTCTCTTGCCCTATGCCCCATACAAAGCCAACTCGCGGTGCACATGAAGTACTCACCTAACACCCTGAGCTCTGCTGGTGGGGCCTGTGGGCTTGGGCGTCTTTCGGCCTGTTATCAACACAGCCAGGGTTTGATGCCAATTTTGGAGTTTCTCGTGTATATTCGTTGCGTTCCTCAATCCAGTTGCACAGGCTTTAAGGGAATTAAAGGCCTGGGGTTGGGGTTGTAAGGTCTAAGGGTTTAAGGTTAAGGGTGTAGGGCTCAGGGTGATACCAAAAAACGAGTTGATGATGCAGGCAAAGCCCTTTGCTGCCCATGTGTTTGAGAGGAAGTTCCAAGGTTTGTTGCTGCACTTCTGGGAACGAAACGCCGCATCCTGGCTACTGCGACTACAGGAGTCCTAAACCCTATTTGTTGCATGTGTTTTTATCTTGGTTGAATTATTCGTTTGAGCCATATTATCCAATATCAAACGAAGATTTTTGAGCCATGAATTGTTTTAAAGATATAACGATGTAAAGAATACACGCCAAACTCCTCATCTCGACATTTGATAGTAAGCCCACGGTATATCGTTTCTATGAGAAAAGAAAGAAACCTTATCCCTTCAAACACCAAGATAAAAATCTCATTAATAAACAGAATTATCACTTAATTAAAAGATTTCTTTTCGAATGATATAACAAAAGAAACCCAACACCACAAAATGAAAACCATTAACGAAATCCCAAGTGAGACAGATACATCTGCCCATCACCATCCCCAATTAGGAGAGAAAATAAAACGAAGACGAAGGGATTCTCAAATCTTATCATGAAGATGAAATATTCCCAGAAACTCCAAGTCGCAAAACGACTATCGACATCCATCCCAAGTCAAGATTATCCAATCTACACGAGGGGGATCATCCTACTGAGGCATATTTTCAAGAAATAGCCAATAAGCATATGAATATATGATGTGGGAACAGGACAGTGACACACACAACGGGCCACTTGAAAGATGAACGCGACCATGTGACCCATTCTCAAGCCTTACAACCCACTTCCGTACCCGAAAGCCCTGAGGCCCTAAACCAAAGTTCTCCTGCCTTGCAGTCCACGGGGCAGGCGGCTTCGCCGCATCCGGTGAGATGACAAAGTTGATGGTTTAGGGTTCAGGGTTGTAGGGATGTCGAGGATAGAAGAATTCAGTGGGTTATGATGAACGAAATTCGTCCGGAAAGAACGACCGGCCAGCTATTTTCCAATAACTTGATTGCAATCCATCTGTGTTTAGGCAAAACTTTGCAGACACCTTGTCAGTTGAGGCAAAGGACGAAGGAGACAAGCATAGGAGTTCCGGACTGGGAGACCAACGTCAGTACCGGCATTCGCAGCGGCTTCAATCAGCAGGCTCACCACGGCCTCGTGGCCTCCATCTGAAGCAGTCCAACCATTTACGTCGACTGTTGCCACATCTGCAGCGGCTTCAAGCAGCCTCGCCACTCCCTGGTGTACAAAGTATGTACTACAGTATGTACTACAGTATGCATATATAAACACTGTCGAGCATGGGAACATACAGCTGTAAAGCCTGCATAGCACATGGACAAGCTGCCAGAGGCTTCAGCTCAAAACTCCGCGAGCGTCCAGATTCAGATCCGGGGGTTGATTCCAACATCTAGGCATATTCCTAAACCCTAAACCCTAAACCTAAACCCTCACTGCTTGGGTACCAAAGCGGTCGCAGACCCCATACATATATATATATATATGCGTGCCCAGTGTAGCTGCAGCCCGTTGTTAGTTGTTGACACCTCCTTGCAACTCACACTCTCTATGGCGGCGAAGGCGCCATAGTTGGAGTAGATGACGTCTACATCGGTCAGCTGACCACTCACGCTGCTGGAGTCTCCCCCGTATCCTGCCATTCCCCAAGTCACTATGGCGCCGTCTGGCTTCTTGGGATGTAGGGATTTGGGGGTTTAGGCTTTTGGTTTAGGGCTTAGTTTTTGGTGCGTGAGGTTGCTGCTGAGGGCTGAGGCCCTGTCAGAAATGGGCATGATGCAAAGACCCAAATCCCAAACCCTGGACCCTTGAACCCTAAGCTAGACCTAAACCCCTCAGCCGATAAACTAAGAGGGGTGGGAGGGGTTCCTACTGCGAACATCTGCGAACAATGCCTGGTGGAGGGCGCGGACCCTCCAACGTGCAGCCCACAAGCATGCGAATTGCAAACGTGGCATGTCTAAATGGCCACCAGCAAGGTTTAGGGTTTAAGTTGAGGGCATTGGCGTGTAGGGATTTGGGCTGTCAAACATGTACGCTGGCTTGCCTTCGGGAGAATAAGCATGAAAACCAACACCGTCCGGGCCCAGCCTTCTTCTCACTTAGTTGGTCTTGGCACTCCTTGATCTGGTGCATGATGGTCTTATCTTGTCGGCACCTGGGCATTAGGTTTAGGGAAAGTTTAGGGTTTAGGGCCTTGCACTGCGGACGCTTTGCAATCACTGCGGACATTCTTGCAAGCAGGGAGTCTTCCTTAACTTCAGAGCGCTCAGCACTAATATCGGCGTGTGCGAAGCAATGCTACAGTGGGCAGGCACTCATGGGGCAATGCAACCTTTTTTCCTGGCACAGAAGACCGCGCACAGCGGCCTGCCGCTCTTTAAACAGAAGCCCACGTATTCACGCAAAGGCTGCTGTTGTTGGAGAGATAGGCCCTGATTCCCGCGCACGGCGGTCGATTGCTTTTTGCAATCTAGCCCCGCAGTGCCTCGAAATAATTTGTTTCAGGCGCTGCGAGACTTAAAGTGATAAAATCAAGTTGAAAGCGTCCACAATATCCTGAGCTCTGCCACGCTCAGCACCCTGACTTGCAGTCTTGAGCCGCCATCCATCGGCCTCCTCGAAGACACTGTTCAGGGCACGTCCTTCATAAGTCCGCTGCCAAAGGCGCCAGCAGCCGTCAATTCTGAAAAGCGGTAGTGTGACGTTTTTGCGGTCGGCATCCAGAAATTCGTGCAACTTCCGGCGTCGAATTTCTGGAACAGGCGTCACCGTTTCTGAAAGCCATTGCAAGAATGATGACTCGAGCCGTCTGCTGCCACACTCTCTTTGCTCTTGAACTAGCTGCAGACCCTGAGAAATTTTGCACACTCTGAGGTCTAGATCTTCGCTCAAGGCAATGTCCAGCACAGGCATCGTGAAGAAAAACACTTGGTCGTTGTGCCGCACGCCTACTGCGATGCGAAGGCAGCGTGCGGGTTGCTGCTGCACGTACGTCAGCTCTATTTCTTCAATCGCGTCACCCACGCGACTGCTGCCAGGATAGACAACAGTGGTGTCTTTCAGAAATGTTGCCAACCTCATTTCAGAAGAGCTGAAGGAGCCGCGCAGGCTTTCAGCCCAGCGAGCGCCGCTTTCAACTTCAAGCCGGCGAATCACTTCCCCTGAGACGGCAGAAACGCAGCACCGCCGCATGGTGCCGTTCTCTGCCATGGCCGGGGGCCCCGGGGGCGCGGCGCCTTCGTCTTGGGAACTTGCCGCAGGGAAGGTCAAAGCTGGCCTGACTTGTGCACCAAATTGTTCGGTGGTGTCTCCTCTCGCTGCATCCATTGCATGAAGGGCGCTGATGACTGAAGAAACTAAACGTATGATTACATCGAGCACGCTGTGCAGTCTGATCCTAGCTTAGCATCCGCAGTTTACCTCAAGATGAGACGGGCCACGTTGCAGCCAGGACTGGAAAGGTCCTGAATTCTGAGCCAAGTGGCAACATGCCAGCAAAAAGCTGCTACAGGAACGGCAGGCGAGAACTGTCAAGATAGGTGGCGGCATGCATCTGCCAGGTTCATTCCTAGCACTGGTGTCTCATGGAAACTCTACAAAGCAACTGACGCGACACTTGCCTCGTAGAGTGCCAAGAGCTTCAAGTCAGCATTCTTCATATCGATTTCCTTGCTCTGGGCATGGCAGAGCACAACAGGGTAACATGTGTTCTCGGCCTACGTCAACACACACATCGCAACTTACTGGGCTCAAGGCTGGGCCTGGGAATATCTCTGATGTGAAGACCCATGCCTCGGAGCGCTATAGTCTTAAAGCTTTAAGTTAAGGGACACTTCAATTAAAGACTGACTTGGAGCTCCTTGGGCGGTTATAGGTACGCTTACAAGTAGCCCGGGATGGAATCACAAGTAGGTTGTTACCCTAAACCCTAAACCCTAAACCCTAAACCCTAAACCCTAAACCCTAAACCCTAAACCCTAAACCCTAAACCCTCCCAAAACTGTCCAAGGACCTCCATTGGAGTTATCTAAGAATACGTCTAGAAGATAACGTTTTAATATCGCGTAAATTTCTTATCTACCACGTCCCGATTCTGCGAGATTTTATCTCATGTGGCTTTCGGAATTTCGGAGAGCGCGATCCAAAAACAATTGAACAATTGCGGCGGGTCACGGTGGAACATCTGCGGAAGCAGCATCGCCAAAGCAAACACGCGAATACTCAATGCCCCATCGGTATGGCAGGCTGGGCACCCCTTCCCACTGCGGCACAAAGCCCTCATCTATCTTGATCTATCCAAAAGAAGAAAGACATGTAGACGCCGTCACAAAGGCTCATTTTCTCCACTCTCTGCCGCTGTATGGCAATCACTGTACACTGGGAGTTGGGTCGTCGTCATGTGCAAAATCCTGGCGCCTTTTGGCCCCGGGCTTAGCGAATTCACTCTGTGTCACAACTAAGGTCCCGTCCACCGAACCTTACCATGCAAACACGACCCCCTGATCTTCCACTCTTTTTGGGAAAGACAGAGCAGCAGGATCCAAAAACAGAAGCTCTGTCTGATTGGTGGCTTCAACAATCTTCATCTGTCAACCAAACAAGATTTCAAAATGAAAATTTGCTCAGACAATTTCGGCCATGGAGCCACCAGTCAGTCTGCACGTTGAGAGCCACGTCGTTGAGAGCCACGCTTGGCACTCCAAGCTCTACAGCTGCGCAATTTGATCCTGAACTGCGGAACTGTCACCGCCGTTTTTGGGATCGCCCCATGTCACGATGGATCCATCTGCCAGGACGGCCACAAAGGCGCGCTGCGCGGCGTGAATCTGCTGCACCTCCTTCAGCTGGTCTTGGACTTCTGAGCTGTCACCACCAAAGGCAGGATCCCCCCATGTGACCACTGAGCCGTTGTCCAGGATGGCGGCGAAAGCGGCCCCAGTGGCCTGAATTTGCCGCACACCTCTGAGCTGATCTTGGACCGCAGAGCTGTCGCCACCTCCATCCGGAAAATTAAACCCCCAAGTGGCGACGGATCCATCAGAGAGGATCGCGGCAAATGCGGTATGTGTGGACTGAATCTGGCGCACCCTCCCGAGCCGGCTTTGGACTGCGGAGGTGTCAGCACCACGCTCTGGATCCCCCCAGGTCACGATGGATCCATCCGTCAAAACAGCGGCAAATGCAAACTTTGTGGCCTGAATGCGCTGAACATCCCTGAGCTGATCTTGGACTTCGGAGCAGTCCCCACCATAGCCTGCATGGCCCCATGTGACAACCGACCCATCAGCCAGGATGGCCGCAAACGCAACATCAGAGGCGTAGATGTCCTTTACATTCCTCAGGCGGCATTGGACTTCAGAGCTATCACCACCACGCTGTGGGTCGCCCCAAGTTACTACGGATCCATCTGCCAGGATCGCCGCAAACGCCGCTTGCGAGGCGTGAATCTGCCTGACATTGGTGAGCTGACCTTGGACTTGAGTGCTGTCACCACCCAGATGCGCAGCTCCCCATGTAACCACGGATCCATCGAAAGTGACCGCGGCAAAGGCGCCCACCGTAGCCTGGAGCTGCTGCACACCGATGAGCCGATCCTTTACCGTCGAGCTGTTGCCGCCTTGGTGCGGGTTGCCCCATGCCACGACTGATCCATCAGCCAGGAGTGCAGCGAACGCTGCGTTGGTGGCCACCACATGCTCGACATTCCTGAGCTGATCCGGGGTCGGGATGCGGCGGAACCCCCAGTCTCGATTGCCCCAGGTGATGACCTTGTCACCTCCATACAGCCACAGGGCAAAGGAACCGTGGGTCGCAGCTACCTTTGGTGCCTGTGCAACAGCTATCAGCTGGTCTCCTGTCTGAATTCCAGCAGATTGCAGGGATGCCCCGGTATCCATCAGGACCTGACCCGATGAAGTCACCAGTCGCAGGAAGCCCTGGAGAAAGGCCTTCTGTGCCAGGTGCTTTAGGTCGCCAACTGTGGACATCTCTGAAACAGCGAGAGTTGCTCTTTTCCCACTTGGCAGAGCTACATGCACTACGAGCTCCACGCCCTCCATGCACTTCGAAAAGGAAGGACCCTTTGGTCTGGTCTACAAGATGCTTTAGGTCTCCACTGTACACTCTCGACCCCAACAGATCTTCGGGCATGACCGGGAAGCGTCATGGTGGGTCCTGGGAGGTAGCAGGCACAACATATAAGCCTGCTCGAGCAGCATCGCGGGATATGTATCTCACTTTTATCATGGATATGTACATGTGCACACATATTCTTTGTGAATAACATGCTATATGTTATATGCATGCGTGAGTATTTTTATGCACATGATACTTGGGTCTAAGAAGCTTCTGCAGGGGGGGGGGGCGAAACTTTTGCAGACTGCGAGGGCAGGTCGCGAGCTTGTGAGACGCGGAGAATCCTGAGGCTCATCAGGGTGAGGGCTTAGGGTTTGGGGTTTAGGGTTATCGGGGGCTTAAGCTTATCAGGGTTTAGGATTATCAGGGTTTAGGGTTGTTAGGGTTTTGGGTGCAGGAGGGTGAGGGTTACCAGGGATTCGGGTTATCGGGGGTTTGGGTTGTCAGGGTTGAGGGATCAGGGCTTCATCCTTTTAGGAACAGCCATCTTCTGAGCGACTGAAGGTCTCAAAGGCTGACTAGGCGTTGGTTACTTGACATCAGCGCAACTCTCCGACTGGCTGAGCGTTGAACTATTGAAACCGGGGCTCATTCGAGCGAAATGAAAATTGCAGCGTGTGTGGGCTGTTCGCGCACCGATCAGGCGGTCTCTAGCCTGTTCCTCCCTCACAAAGTCCCAAACCCAAATGCCAACAAGACTCTTATGGGCGCAGCTTGGCTTGCTGACTACTTTCCACAAGCTGAGGATCGGCGCGCAGCAACAGCTCTGGAGCTTTTTTGAGCAATCCGGACACCGCTCTCTTTGGGCTTTTTTTTCGAGAGTTTGGGACCCCTTCTGTGGGATGTCTAGGGATACGAAACCTCACGGCCCCGGACCCCACCAGCTCGTCCCTGAGTGGCCGGAAGGTTCAGTTGAAGAAGTACCGAGCGCGGGAAGTGCCGACAAACCTGCACATGAGGCTCAGCAGAGAAGGGGCTTCAGGGTATAAGGCTTCGGATTTCGGAGTTTCGGGCTTGCGAGCAGGCCCCCCCCCGCGATAGTTTCAAGAAGAAATGCCGAGCCCCGGGGGCCCAGCTTGTCCCTCTCCGCGATGATGTTGCTGACGCGGGTGAGCACCTCGAAGATTCAGGGGCTCAGGGCGACAAACCCAGAAGCCCCTGTCCTAAGTGCGGCCCGTATCGGGCCGGTATTGGTACCTTGAATTATAGGTCTTTTGGGGGATGCTGACTCAGGCAAAGACGCGGTCATGATCTCGGTGCAAACCGTCTAACAAACGCACAAATACAGTCGAACCTGTGTGCCTTGGCTTCTTTGGGCGCCCTGCAAAGTGGGCTCCCTCCAAGAGCGCGGAAAAAAGGGGGGGGGGGGAGGCTGCAGGAAAAGACCGCGAGAACTGTTGCCCGGAGGACATGAGACATGCATCGCAGGGACCGGGACCCGCAGGAAGCCGCGGCTGCCAGCTGAAGCAGGTTTAGGTCAGTGACGCTCTGCCGGACAAGGGGGCCACAGTGAGGCTTACCAGGCTTGCCAGCTCTGCGCCGAAAGGTGTTGCTAAAACCTCGCGCATGTCACGCAGGGCATCGATCTGCACTACAGGCCTACAGGCACTTCTGCGCAACTCCATCATACATGGTGCTTGTGTGGCTTCGGGTACCAAAAAAGGCCCATCATTAGATCAACCGCCATATGCTGTCTGTATGGCGCAACAGCGAGCTGCAGCCCATCATTTGGGAGAACTGCAGTTGCGACAATCTGCGTTGCCCACGGCCACAGGTTGGGAATGCTGTAGCACAGCTACTATCAAGCACCACAGCCGGAAGTCGTGTGGCACCTGCGAATCTGTGCTGAACCAAACACGCCCCTTTCACAGACAAGGAAAGACATGCCAACCCCCCCCCCCCCCCCCAAAAAAAGAAAAAAACAAAACTCAGGTCTCCAGTCTGAACGTGGTAGTGTCTTCAATTGCAGGGGCTGGGGTTCGTGCTGGGAGTCTTTGACCCCAGCACCAGCCACCAGCCTTTCAAAACTGGGATGATTCGGGGCCAGGACTTTTCTGAAGCCCGAAGCCCTAAAAGCAGCGCCGCCCCAAAGGCATCCGGGGCCCCAGGCGTAAAAATCGCACTCGCCGTTGGCGTCCTGGCCAGCGCACCCACAACCCCAAAAAGCCCTAGGCCAAAATGAATGATGCCCTGGGCGACTCTTGGGTTCGCTTGGAGTCCTTCGACCTTGAGTTCAAACCTTGCGGGTTTAGGGGGGTCTGGGGGTTCGGGGCTTCTATTCATCTGCATGCAATGCAGGGCGGTCCAAGTGCACTGTGATCTGCCTGCTCAATTTCAGAGGCGCACAGACAATAGGGCCAACAACACAGAGGCTCATCCCAAATCTCTCGCAAGAGGAGGCATCGCGGCCGCAGCTAACGAAAGTTCTGGAGGTCTGCGGTGAGAGAGGTTTGGGCTTTTCGGTTCGGGGAGCTGGGGTTTCGGGGTTTGGGGGGTGCAGTGTCCGGGAACTTCAACAGAATGGTCTCAAACCCACCCCCCACCCAACCCCAGAACCCACCCCCTGCGCGCCCTCGCCTCCCACTGGATGGCGATCATGTTCTTGGAGGAGTAGATGACATCTACGTCGACAACCTTCGGCGGCACCCCCAAGTCCGACCCTGCACCGCCCCCAAAACCCAAAAAAAAATAGGGTTTAGGGTTTAGGGTTTAGGGTGTAGGGTTTAGGGTTTAGGGTTAAGGGTTTAGGGTTTAGGGCCTTCCGAGCCTCTCAAGAAGCCCCCAATCCTCCCTAAGCCACACTGGAGCCTTCCTTTCATGCGCAGGCGTGAAAGCCCTAAACCCTAAACCCTAAAACCTAAAACCCTAAACCCTAAACCTTAGACCCTAAACCCTAAACCCTAAACCCTAAACCCTAAACCTAAACCCTAAACCCTAAACCCTAAACCCTAAACCCTAAACCCTAAACCCTAAACCCTAACAATACAGGTGCACCGGGCACCCGCGCGAGCTTGTCCTTCCCCTCTCGGAACTCCAGGTCCTTGCCTGAGACTGAGGTTAAGGTTTGGGGGTTTAGGGTTAGGATTTAGGGTTTAGGGTTTAGGATTAGGATTTAAGGTTTGGGGGTTTAGGTGTAGGGTTTATGGTTTAGGGTTTAGGGTCAGGGTTTAGATGTTGAACGTTTAAGGGCTTCTGAGTTTAGGGTTCCAGGGGTTAAAAGGTAGACAAGTCAGATTGGAGAGAAGCTTCGGGGGGGCTTTGGCCATGGTCTCAGGTGGCCTTCGTCGGTCTTCATCTCCTTGAAGGTGATCTTGAGCCTCGGGTTGAAGGGCTTCAAGGGTTTAAGGGTTTATATAGAGGTTTACATAGGGGGCTTCAGGGCTTAAAAAAGCAGATTTTTTAGGAACTTCAATAGGGTTCATATAGGGTTGAAGAAGGGGTTTCAGGGTTTCAGGGTTTAAGGGTGGCTGGTGGGGGAGTCGTGGCTGAGGATGGCTTGAAGGTGCCTCCACTCTTGCCAAGTGACCGGTTGGTGCCCGATATCGCGTACTTCCCCCGCAGGCCTGAGCATGTCCGGGCCGGCTTCCGAGGCCATGGACCGGGGACATGGAAGCCAAAGAGAAACGGGACCGACAGACACAAGTATGACTACGACTGACATGGAGAGAGGAAGGGAAGGTGACAGAACTGGGATGGAGGAAGGGAAGGCGAGCAAAAACTGCGGTCTTGCTACAGCCGTGACCCGCGCGTCCTTAATGAAGGTGTTCAAGACGACGCAACCCGCTCCCATGAGAGAGGCACCCATCAAGACAGCACACGCATCTTGGCAGCAACCCACTTAAGACGCATGCAACACATGGGCCTGGGCTCATCCGAGCACCAACTTGATGGCCACGGCTATGACGGGAGAACAGTGCTAGCTCCCTTAAGAGATGAGCCCCTCAGACACCGAGCCGGCGGCAGTTCGACTGGTTCGGGAAAGGCCCCACTTTTCCTGGGGAGATCAGGGCTTTTCCAGGGGCCTTTAGGGACTTCAGGGGCCTTAGCTTTGGAGTCTTTAAGCTTTCCTCAAGTGGGGTGTCAAGGAGCTGCGTATCCAGTGCGTATCGTTTTCAGCATACTTTCAGGATCCTTTCAAGGCCATCTCCGATTCGGCCAGGTGGCGGATGATCTCGATGGCTTCGCAGACCCGACCTGCTCTCTAAGAAGGGAACAGCCAATAAACGAGCGATGAGTCTCCATTCTGGTCTTCTTATCCGCAAAAAGCGGCACTCGAAAAAAGGATCCCCCAGAATTTACAAGCCCCGAGCGAAAAAACTCCAAGTGCTCCCCATGGCTTAAGAGAGGCCTTCCTTCTTCTTTCCGAAGCGGAGCAGGTACTCCTGAAAAATGCATCCAAGGATTGCTGCACAACCCCCGCTCGACAAAGCAGCGGTGCCTAAGACCGTGTGCCGCAGACGTGTCCTGCATCTGCATCCACCAGCCCTCGTCTGTCATGCCAGTGCCGAAGAGCTTGTCGATGCCTTGCAGCGCTAAGTGTCGAGATCAGAGCTTGCTGTTCGGAAGCATCGCGCTCGTAAACCCTAAGCCCTAAAAAACTGCGGAAGACTTTTTGTATTGGGGTGGCCCTCTCGTAACTCTGAAATCACAACACAAAAATCCGCAGGGGCCTCGACTGAGCCCCTTCGGGGGGTTTAGGAAGCCCGAATCCTTCCCTCCTCAACCCCCCCCCCCCTCGGCCGTTGCCCTACCCGAGGCTCTTGCACCCCTCTCGTGAGGCCCAGAAGATGATCCAGTCCTTCTCGCGGCGCTCGTCGAGTTGTTACAGGACTTAGGTCTTTGGGATGTCGTGTTCAGTTATTTACGGTTCAGGTGCTTTATTCCTTCGCGAATGTTTAACTGTTGGGTTCTCTTGTTTTTGCACGACCCCATCCAAAAACAACTCTCCGGCACTAACCATGATAGCAAGGATCAGCTAAATCGGCTTTTCGTTTTGACTCCCCGCCCCTTGCATTAACAACACCTGGTCAGATGGTGTTCTTTGGAAATTACGAAGGATCGGGTCTCCAACCAGGAAGGGTCTGAATGGGTTCTCGGGCGCGTTGTCCAGGAAAAAGGGGCAGGTGAGGGCCTAAACAATCCGGTTGGGAAGCTATAGGGTTCTGAGCCCTCCCAAAATCCTTCAAAACCCTGAGCTACAATTAATGGATGTGACTTACCACCATCTCCAGCAAATGGACCAAGTTCATTGCCCGCTGGTGATGATGATGGTATTGGTGGAATGCCACCACTTCATGATATTTATAGCACGCTATATAAACTATGCACTAGATGCATGGTGAATTCGTTCCCTCTGCATTCCCTGCACCCCTAACCCGAAACCCTAAACCCGAAACCCGAAACCCTAAACCCTAAACCCTAAACCCTAAACCCCCTGCATGCTCGGGCGCCGGGCCCCTGCCAAGCTTTGATTGGGCCGTGGGTTGGTCTTCGCCAAGCGCATGAGGATCTCTCGCACCTGAGGCGGGTTTGGGGTTTAGGGTTTAGGGCTTAGGGTTTAGGATTTGGGGTTTAGGGTTTAAAGTTTAGGGTTGAAGGTTTGCTGTGATAGGGCGTAGATGCTGTGAAGGTTAGGTTTCGCACCAAGCTCGAAAGCTTCGTGAGGTGCGAAGAGCAGCTTTGGCCCGATTGCGGAGGGCCATCTAACACTTTTCTCCCACCCCACGGCGGCAAAGCCACCCAAACCGATTCCTTTTAGGGTTTAGGCCTAAACTCAGACAACAGTCCACTTCTAAAAACTTATTCAGTTTCAATTCAGGGGTCGGGAGGCAGTTTTAGGGAGGGTTGCAGGAGGTGCCAGCAAGGTTCGGGTTGGGCAAGGCACTTTAGGGTTCGGGCAGGGAGTCAGAGGAGGCAGGAACCAAAAAAGGGGGGGAGGCGAGAGGCCCCTCTGGCGGGGGGTCCGGGACCCCCTGGGCTGGGGCCCTGGGGGTACCCCCCTAAAGATGCTAATTACGAAAATAGGGGATCAGGACGTGGGCGCTGCTGACCCCCATGCTGTGGGAGGCGGGCGAGCGACCTGGGTCGGCTTGCGCCATCGAGGTCGAAGGGCTTGAGCGCCGCCCTGGTTTAGGGTTTAGGGTTTAGGGTTAGATATGGAGCTCTCTCCATCGCCCTCAAAGCTTGCAAGCCCCTTGGGGCGGGGGGGGGCCTTGTAGATGTCGGGCTCATCCATCCGCGCGAAGAGCGTCTTCAGCGCGCCCCTCGGAGCGATGTGCACTCAGGGGCTCCAAGAGGTGCTTGAGTTCGAGAAAAACCCGTTCAGAACCACGCGTGCTCGAGTTTTTGTCCTATAAGCCTCCGAGTAAAGCCTCATTAAAGCTTCCGTAGAAGCCTAGAACCTCCAAACCTTCAGGGCGTCCCGGCTCCATCATCTCCACCTCCATCTCGCGCATCTTCTTGCGATTCTTCCTGGGGGGCGGGGGGGGCGACTACAGGGTGTACAAGGAACTACAGTGCAGGCGCAGGGTATACGCGGCAATCTCAGCTTGGAGGTCCAAGTGCTGGCTTAAGGCAGCTTCCAAAAAGCTCGTCAACAGCATGATGTGCATTGCAGAAGATCAAGTGCTATGATCAGTTCTCAGACACTTCCTGTGCGCCCACCAGGAACCACACCACCGAGCCTGCGTTGTAAAGCCTTCTCAGCGCTTCATATGCCACTGTGGTGCCAGGCTGTGCCATTATGTGCAGACTCTTGGCTTTGGCTGTAAGCTTACACAAGAGCCTCGTTAAACCCTGAAGCCCTTTAGGGCCTCAAACCCCAGAGCCCGAAAAAACCGTTGAAGCCCAAGAAACCCCCAGAGCCCCGTTAAGCCCCCCAAAGCTCTGAAACGCCACCAGAACCCAAACTCTCAAGGCCCAAAGACCCCCTTGCACCTCTTCTTCCCCGCCTCCCCCAATCTTCGTTTCCCACCCTCGCACTCTTGCAAGAGCACCAGAGCCCTGAAGCGTTCCTACCCTAAACCCTAAACCCTAAACCCTAAACACTAAACCCTAAACCCTAAACCCTAAACCCTAAACCCTAAACCCGATTCAACCCCTCCAAGCGCCCCGAGCTCTGGGGCAAAGGCTTCAACAGTCCGGCCTCGGCGCCCATGCCGACGGCCTTTTGCAGAACGAGCGATTTAAGGTGCAAGGTGGCGGCCCCCCCCTGGGGTTGACATATATATATATATATATATAGACACAGACACAGACACACACAACAATGCATGCATGCATACATACATACATACACATGTTCTTATAATTGCTTGTTTTTTTTTTTGGGGGGGGGGGGGGGCTTTCAGGGTTTTACAAATTGGCGCTTGTGCGCCTCGGGGCTCTAAAGGTTTAGGTTTCAGGGAAGTGAACAGGAGAATTGTTTTCCAAACTCCAAAAGAAAACCACCCCATCAGCCGCGTCTTCCAAACCAAACCACTCCCCAAACCCCAAGAATCCGACAACCCTTTGGTTGGGGATTTGTTTAATTAGGGCGTAGCCTTTACATACAACCCCAGAAAACCCCCTAAAGACCAACCACCTCATGACTGGGGGTGCTGGCCGTCCTGGCCCCAGCGCTCGCACGCGTGGCCCGCCTGGCTGCGTTGCTGTGGTTCAACCGGCACACCCTCATAAGATCCAACCTCAAAGGCCTCAAAACCCTAAAGCCCTGAACCTAAGGGTGTGTTGTGGACTTGTCTTGGGAGTTTTCGGATGAGGTTCTAGCGTGCGGTGGTCGGGATTCGGGTGGGGGGTGCAGAATGTGGGGAGGACTTCGGATCGTAGGGGCTTGACGGATGCGCTGACGGATTCTTCCAAGGGGAAGAAGCCGTGTAGACTGTGTAGGGTCTGCTGTAGCCTCACTTTCCCTGCCGAGAATTCCTGCAAGGATGATGCCGCACAGGTTGTTTAACGCGATGTGTGTGAAGTGCAGTAACCTGATTTAACATGAACCATATCGCGATCTGAACCATCAGATTCGGTGGGTGGAGTTCGGGCGTTTTGGGTGTAGGGCTTAGGTTGTTCCGTCAGCCACGGTTTGCAAACACGTGGGCAGGAGACGCCGAGAGCTCTGCGATGTGATCATGTGATCTACTGCCAGGGCTGCAAGGCTCTTGCTACGTTGCTCATGATGGGCATGCTTTACCTTGCAACCCTAAACCCTAAACCCCCAAGCGCTGCCTCTTCACCGCAACGCCCGCTGCAAGAGCCGAAGCGGCCGCCGCCAGCGTCCATGGCGTACCTTGATCCAGGAGAAAAAGCTCTTGGAGGAAGTTGAGGGTTTCGGGCTTCGGGATGCTTCGGGGGTAGCGGCATTCACCGCTCCCGGCCACGTTTCACGGATGTGGCTCGGAGTTTAGACTGAGTTCAGGGTTTCAGGGTTTTAGGGTTTAGGCCTTCGGGTTTCGGGTTTCGGGTTTCCCTGGTACGATCATCGCTCTCAACTACAGGCTGGCACCGTGAGGATGCTGCTTTGGACTGACACATCTTTGGGGTTAGAGGTCAGATTTTTCGGGCCCTTCGATGTTTCGGGCACCCTAGAAACTCTAGATCAGCCCACCCTCGACCCTAAGCTTCAAGGCCCTCAAGGTTCGGAACCCCTCCAAAGCCGAAGCTCGCCTCAACCCCTAAGCCCTGGAACCCTTGAAGGCCTGGCACCCTGCCACCCCTAAACCCTAAACCTCCCACACCCAAACTCCAAGGCCCTCTCCCTTGGAGTGGGCCCCTGTGGCTCCGGCCTCGCTCCGGAGCACGGGTGGCCCTGCCGGGAGCTGCGGCGAGCCTGGTTCAGGGTTTAGGGGTTTAGGGGTTTGGGGTTTAGGGTTTAGGGGTTTAGGGGTTTAGGGTTTAGGGTTTAAGGTTTAGGGTTTCGGGCTTGGGGTCTAAGGTTTGGGGTTTAGGGTTTAGGGTTTGGGGTTTCGGGTTTAGGGTTTGGGGTTTAGGGTTTTAGGGATTAGGGCTCTTAGTTTGGGGAGTTTGGGAGGCTTCTTGAAGTCCAGGCCCAGGAATCCTAGTTTTTGCCTGCCGGCCTGTAAAACGGGCGTATAGGTTGTCGGGTATCTTGAGTGTCTGACCATGTGACCATGGCCCTCGGGTGGGAATTTGAGGCTCAGGCTTTCGGGCGGCACAGGGCTCGGGGCCAGGGCTTTGGGTGACTGCAAGGCCTTCCGGGGACTCAACGGTTTTCTCACGATTAGGGGGTGTTCGATGAGGTCGTTGTGGCTTGGAAAGTTTGCTGCTTGCTGCAGGCTGATGGAGTGCCCCAGCCTCGCGACAGGCAGCGATGGAGGTGCCGCACCGGGAACAAATGCCTTCCAGTCGGGTGGCTCTTCGGGTCTCGAGATTGGTGATGCAGATGTGCAAGCACGTTTCTACTGCGCATCCACTACTGTCGAAGTCTGCAGAATCCGGCATGTCAGGAAGTCAAGCATCTCAAACAAACTACATGCTTCGTGGCTGTCATCAAAAAGTACCTCAGTGAGGAGAGCCATGGCAACTAGGCAACTACCCGTCTCAATCAGCTACCTGTGTTGCGGTCCTTGTCCGCTTCATGTCTTGCTGAAGCTTGCTGCTTGCTTTGGGACATCGTGGCTGGGAGAAGCATCAGTCTGCATCGGTCCCGAAACATGCGACTCACACAACGAAGACTTGTGAAGACAGCAAGCAGGAGCCAAAACATGGCGACGCATACAGAAACCAGGTTGGTCGTAGAAGCTACAGCCCTCAAGTCGCTGGGTGGGGTTCGGCCCTTCCGCGCTTTGGGTCTCGCAGATTTTTTTCGATGGGACCTGTCGGACCTGTTCTTTGTTTCTCTGGCCAGCTTCCCGGATAGAAATATGACAACAGGTTTCGGCGTTTTTTGCTTTGTCGATTTTGGGGTTCGGGTGTGTTCCTGTACATTCTTCGCTTGGACTGTTGACTCCGCACGCATCACGCGCAGCCCATTCAGTCGAAGTGAAGGCAGCCTGCGTCTAGTCCGGAGTAGGATGGATGACTGGGCCGGGCGTTAGGGCGGTTTCCGGTATACTCCCAGTCGGAGGTGTTGTGCTTCGTGGGCTCATCGGTTTATTCCTGCTATGCCACTTCCTTGCAAGGCACGCTGCTCCTGCCTGCAGAGATCTCAACGCCCTCTGCGGCACACGAAAATCGCTGTACACAGCCTGCCGCAGAAAATCAAGGGGGGGAGCGTTTCCAGAGCGAACGGCAACCCCGAAAACTTCACGTCACGTCGTTCTGCAAGGGTCCTGCGCAATATTTCGGCAAGACCGACGTTGGCAAACGCCTGGGCTGTACAAGCAGAAACCTGAGAAGAAGCATATGAACTGTGGCCAGTCAGCTAGGCCAGGCCCAGTTTGGTCCGCAAGAAGGAGGACAGCAGCTGCCAGGCCGCCGCAAGAGGCGACCCATCCAACTCCTCCAGGATGTCGATGTTGAGCCGAAAGACGAGGTTGGCCTCTTCAACGATGGCCTCCTTCTCCTCACAGCTCAGCTGCAGGCTGTTCAGCTCCCTGTACCACTCCGTGATGAAGGCCTTCGTGTCCGGGATCTGGGGAAAGCGGTAGAAGGAGGTGCCCCGGCCATCTTCGAGGCCCAAGGAGCTCTCCGCCATGCCACCCATCATCTGGCCACCGAACAAGTCGCCCAGGTACCTTGCAGACTATTCTTAAAGCTCCGCGCTCTCTAAGTCCTGAGCCCTGGACCCTATCAATCCCAAACGCATGCCCCAGGCGCTAAACTCTGAAGCCAAAACCCTTCAGAAGCAAAGTGCCCAGGTACCTGGCATGGCAACCCGAATTAAAGCCCTCAACCTCCACATTCGTGAATCCTCGACCCCGAACCCTTCATAAGTCATCCAGGTGCCTTGTGTACTGGTGGGCGATGAGAAGCTGGGGATTCTCGGCAGCGACCTGGCGAATGCGCTCGCAGTAGCGCGCCGCGGCTGCAGACGGCCGAAGTTGCTGGCGCCAGTTGGGGCCGTAAAAATATGCCAGGTCCTCATCTGTCTGGGCCCGAAGGAACCCAATTTCAGGCTCCACACATACGTTCGTGATTTGATTATTTCTTACGGTTCAACAAGCTGTGAGGTACATCTATAGGGACTAGCTGTCGTACCACGAAGGGTCCTCCTCGATCGCAGCGACCCGGCGCAGCTGCTGGAAGTCCAAATGCCGAACGCCGGCATCTGCAGAACTCTGAAAGGATTCTTCCATGGCCTGGTAGATGAAATAAAGCGATGTTACCAGCTGCGCGAAGGAGTCGCGGTTTCCCAGGCCTTTGAAGAACCCCGTCACGAACTGGGTGTTCTCCGCCATGCTGTGGCTCTTACGCGTGCCTTCGTCCAGCATCAGTGCCAGCCCATGTTTCCGTGGATTCTCTTCGTCCACTTCGGCGGCCTTAACCGCTGTGGCCGGTCTCTCTGTCACCTGGGTCTCTGCAAGCATTGCAGGCCGTGGCCGTCTGCCTGCGTGGGCACCAGCCGTGGCCCCATTCGCGAAAGCCAGTGCGAGCTTCGAAGTTGCCAGGACTACGAGCACTCCCGATACCAAAACCACTCCAAGGCTGCGCTTCCCGGGCCCCGCGCGCTGCTTCGGCAAGCGCCGCCCTCCAAGCGACATCACGGCGAGGGCGGTGGCGAGACCACGAGACCGCGCGGGGGGGGGGGGGGGGGGGGAAGTTTATATAACAAGACGGAAAGCAATAAAAGGCATGTCAACCCCACACGAATTGTAGCTGCCAACATCCTCGAAGCTTGAACCGAGAAGAGACAAGGGAACAGAGTCCTGTTGAAAGTCGACAAGAAACCTCTGCAAACCGAACATGACAAACCGTTTTCATGGCTCTTTAGGCTGTCCCTAAAAGGTTAGGGTGGCTCAACTTCAGGCCCCAGGCCCCCAACAACCCGATCTGAGCACTCTGTCGTCATCATGGGTGCGCCATGGAGACCGCGAAGGTTGTGGATGTGCTAGAGACACGCACTGCAACAGAGTTGCATAGGCAAACGCCACATTGTTTACACGACCTCAAGTCTAAGGGGATAAATGCCTTCACAGACGACTGAAACCCTGCATTCATCTGCATTCCAACAGGCCAATCTGACGACCTCGTTTCTGCAGGCGCTGCTCAGGCGTCAGAGGCAGAGTTCAGTCCGGGCTGCTCAGGCTCTCCGAACGACCCCGTTTGCAAGGCCAGGAGCCCAAGCTGCCGCTCAGATGCGCGGCGATGTCTGGAGCTCAAAGTCTGCCTCACTGGGACACTCTTGAGATATTTGAAAAAAATGCAGGTTGTGATCCAAGCCTTTCAGGATTGCTTGAGGGCTTCGCGGCTTTGCTAGGGATGGGTTCGGCGTCTGGGACCAGGATCCAGAAGGTCACGGCGTTGAAGGTTTTTCAGCAAAACGCTTCCAGCGGTTGCAGTTTTTTGGTTTCGCTCAAAGACTTCAGACTCCGAGGATTCGGAGACCTTGACGAGTTCCGGTGGCCAAGGAGGTCTTCTCGAAGGCCAAGGGAACTTAGTCAGCAGGCTACACCCCTAATGTTGGACCTGCTATAGTAAGTTTACCCCCCCCCCCCCCCCAAAAAAAAAAAGTCGAGGGGTGACCCTGAATAAACAAAAACCCAAACAGTCAGGCAGGGAAGGGGTCAAAAAGTCTTCTAGTGTCTCCCCAAACAAAGGCCAAAATCCGGAGTATCCGAAAAAAACTTTTCGTAATCGCGTCCCCCTAGAATATTGCGGGTGCAACATTACCAAAAAACCCAGGGTGTGCGGGGTGCGCTCGCTCGGGCTTCATCAACTGGGGACTTCCGGAAAACCCCCAAACCCCCTAACCCCCCAGCCCCTTAACCCCGAAACCCTAACCCCCTAAAACCCTAAAAAAAAAAACCGAAAACTCCTAAAACCCCGGAAACCCCCCAAACACCCTAAACCCCTGCCCTCCCTCGACTTCAGGGTTCAGGGAGCGGCTCATCGGCTCGAGGGTGTGGGGCAGTGCGGCTTAGGGTCTTTTTAGGATTTCCGGGGGGGCTTTGATGGCTATTGTTTTTTGGGGGTTAAGGAGGCAGTTTAGGGTGTTGAGTGGATATCTGAGGGCTTCTTGAGGGCTCATTTAGGCATTTGGGGCTGCGGGTTTTAGGCGCAAAAGGGCACCCGATCAATGCCCTAGAGTAAACCCCCAAGCACGCACAGTAAATGCTGAGCCTCGTCCAGAGCACACGACCCCTCGGAGTCGTGTGAACACCGACGATCACCTTCAGCGTGTGGGCGCAGCACCACATTGCAGGGCTTGTGCACCAAACACAGAACACAGAACACAGGTGCTATGGAAGGAATGCTTATGCGTTCTAGATTGCATGATGCCCTGCATTCAGTCCAGACGCCTAGTGACTAGCGGGCCTAGCGCCTGTTGAAAAAGATTCCAGTTGTTTCCACAGACACCTTGCCAAGCACATGCACCTCAGGCCAAACCGACTGCGCGTACGCGGAACACCATCAAACTACCATCAACTGCAGCGCCTGCGAGGTCGGCGGCATCAGCGACCTCGAAGGCCCGCTGCCTGACGCCATCTGAGCACAGAACGTCACAGAACTGTCTTCTTTGCTGGGCGCTGCAGCTCATTCCATTGGGCTCCCTTTTGATCCCGAGAATACCGCGCGACGCCATCGCAAGAGTCGAAGATGGAGCGTCGTCAGGGACCCAGGGGCCCTCAAGGCGGCGGTATATGGGGCTCAAGATGGGCTACACCCTGTACACAGCCCCTAGACACGAATGCCTCCTCTAGTCCGAGTCCCAGGCATCCTCCAAACCCCCACTTCTTGGGGATCCGGAGGGATCCGTAGAGGGATCCCTAGACCCGAAATGTTCAAAATCCTGAGCCGAATTTGCCGAGCGTGAGTCAGTCCAGACATTTGGAGCACGACATTCCAGCGACGGGGGTGGCAAGTAGTCAAAATCGCGGAAGCTTGCAAGCTCCTCCCGGGGGTTTACCAAAAAGCGAACTTTACCGTACAGGCGCCAGGAACCCCAAACAAGCAGCTCGCCGTTGGAGAGAGTGGCGCAAAACGTGAACATGTCTGCGTGAATGTCCCTCACATGCCTCAGCCGATCTTGAACATCGCTGCTATCACCACCAAAGTCCGGGCGTCCCCACGTCACAACTCTGCCACCTTGCAGAAGTGCGCAGAAAGAACCTTGCGTGGCTACCAGCTTCTGCACGTCTCGAAGCTGATCTTGCACAGCACGGCTGTCGCCTCCGAGGTCACCACGGCCCCACGTCACGACAGAGCCATCTGACCGGAGAGCTGCAAAGGCCTGCTGAGAAGCGGCAATATCCTTGACATCCTGCAGCTGCGCTTGCACCATGCTACTGTCGCCGCCACCATCCGCAGAGCCCCAGGTGACGACACGGCCGTCCGCCAGCAAAGCTGCAAATGCTGTAAAGCAAGCATAGACCCGCACCACTGATTGCAAGGCTTGCTGAACTGGGGCGCTGTCACCACCCATACGTTGGTCACCCCAGGTGACGACCGACCCGTCCCTCGAGATGGCTGCGAAGGCACCCACAGCAGCCGCAACATCTTGCACGTTCCTCAAGCGGTGGCTCACAGCCTGGCAGTCGCCACCGAAGTCTGGATCGCCCCAGCTGGTGACACGACCATCTTGATGAATCGCAGCGAAGGCAGCAACAGAAGCTACCACCTCCCGCACATCTAGCAGATCGCGACCCAACTCTCCACCATCGCTTGCCTCACCCCATGCTGCCACCGAGCCATCGGCTCTCACTGCAGCAAGTGCTCTCTCGGTGGCAACGACCTTCTCCACATCCCGGAGCTCTGCTATCGCTGCAGGAGCATGGACCTCCACATCTAAGGATGGATAAAAGGTGCGAACACTGCCATCTTGCCCGAGAAGGACCATTTCCGCACGTGGAACTGCGTCGCCAAAGTTTCCAACTTCAACTCTTCGCACGGCGCCGACACACTCAAGAAACTTCATCTCAAGCCCGTTCTCCACGGAAGCGCCTAGCCAGAAACACTCACCGTTGAAGATGCCGTAGTATCCCTCATGGCGTTGACTAGAGCACATGTGATTCTGTGTGGCCGACCGGATCACTTGGACGACATCCACGCCCTCGGTACGAGTGCCGATGCCCTGCTGGCATAGGGTACTGTCGTTGTCGCGTAAGGTCTCGCCATTGAAGATGCACTCAGGCCACCACCCCAGCTCTTCCTGCAAGCGTTCCTTCAACTGCCACACGTAGCAAGTCTCATCGACCGTGATGTCCAGCACGCGCCCGCCCAGAAGCACGCAGTGAAGCTCGGTCATGAGCTGCTAGCTGGGAAGCCTACTTAGTCTACTTGGGAGGAGAACAAAAGCTTTCGGCACTTCTGCCAGAATCTGTATATTCCTGGAGCCAGCGGAAAGTGCCCAAGGTGTCTTACATCCACAAGCCCCTCAAACATGATATCCCTTGCTCGCATCTTCTCCC